CACCTCACCCGCCACCCCCCCTTTTGCTCCTCTCCCTGAAAAGCAAAAGAATGCCAATTCCTTTTGATACAATGACTCATTATATTCCTTCCATCTTCTTTTAATACTTCCTGGAGTTCTTTCTTTCATCTGTTCCTATGCAATGATCAATCAGATTTCTATTTCAAATTTTTATTTCATACCTTTTTTTCTATAGATTTCCTACTTTCTGTGTACATAATTTATATTCTTATTTTTATTCGTTCCTTTGTTCTCATAATTTTGGGCTTCAGTTTCTGAAGTAGGTACAGAGATCCTAAATTTTAGACTTATTGTTTTTTCTAGTACATGTATTTGTGTGTTTTTTTCCAGAATCAATATCTATTCTTTTTATTCATTTTTTTCACTATGAAACTCTTTTGGATTTTCTTCCAGAAAGAAAAAGTTATCAGTATCCCGACATTTATATATATATTTTTTACATTCATTAAAAGAGTAAATTTAATGTTATTTAGAAAGGCTTACATCAGGTAGTATAAATATTACAAATTGCAGTTTACAACTATTAAATATAATTTGTACATGCATTTACAGAAAATGTGCGACTTAGCACATGACAGTTTCAAAAGTTGATGTCATATATTATTTAGTTACTTTTTTTAAATCCTTTTAATGAACATTTACAGAGAATTTGGATTTCCATTCATTCATTGCTGCACTTCTTTACCCGCCCAGCCCTCTCCCCCCGCCCCCCAGTTCGCTCCTCTCTTTCAAAAGTAAAACAAAGACTCCCTCCCTGGTACACAATCCCCCCGCACCCCTACCACCACCCCAAGTACATTCCACTATGCAACCTTAATTGTGGACTCTTGTGATAACCGTAATACCCTATCATACATCGCTTTTAAATTATTCAGTCCCTCATCTGTTTCAGTGCAGTCATGTATTCGATTTTATGTTACACATTGAATTCTGTGTTAGTTAATTCCTATAAGTTTTGATATGTAGTACTTCATTTACATTGACTACAGTGTAAGTTAACCCTCTTCTATCTTCTTTCTAAATATTTCTAAGTTTTCCAGATCACTTTCTATTGTTAATTTATATTTTAACTTCCCTCTTCAAGTCTTAAAATTTTGAGATCTCTTTTATGTCCTAGAATATGAAAAACATATTTTTCTTTTTGTGAGGTGGTGTATATTATAAATATCAACCATCTTGATTTGTGGATATTGTTCAAGCCTTCTGTAATATTATTGT